CTAAGTGGTCCCATTATCAAGGTGCTGTCAGGATTCTGAGGTATATCAAGGGAACTCTGAAGTATGGAGTATTGTTTCCTTCTGGAAGAAAGGATGAGTCAGAATTTCTGAGTTATTCAGACTCTGATTGGTGTGGAAACAGAGTTGACAGAAGAAGTACCTCTGGGTACTTGTTCAAATTTCTGGGAGGTCCCTTTTCTTGGTGTTCCAAGAAGCAACCTGTTGTGGCGTTATCAACCTGTGAAGCTGAATACATTGCAGGTGTTGTTACTGCATGTCAAGCTGTGTGGATTCTAAATCTGTTGCAGGATCTGAAGATTAAAATAAACAAACCTCTGAAGTTGATGATTGACAACAAGTCTGCAATCAATCTTGCCAAAAACTCAATGTTGCATGGGAGAAGCAAGCATATTGAGATAAAGTATCATTTTCTGAGACATAAAGTTCAGAGTGGAGTGCTAGAAGTTGTACACTGCAGCACTCAGAAACAGTTGGCAGATGCTCTGACGAAAGCTATCAAGACTGATCAATTTCTCAGACTAAGATATGGAATTGGTGTTACAAGTTTTGATGGAATATGAATTAAGGGATGGTATTAGAAGTAATTCATATTTATTAGTTGTACTATTTTCTTAGCCCCTAAGTTTGTTAGAGGGTATTTTAGTATTTTTATCTTATTTTAGTAACCCTAGTTTTAGCTTATAAATAGGGTAGCAATCGTTCTAATTTTGTAGTAGTGTGTAGTCGTCATTCTCTTAATAGAATATTTCTCTATTCATCATTTATTTTACCTTACACCAACACAACTGATCCCAAGAGTTGTAAGAATATATAATTAGATGAAACTAAACCTCAAAGAGCTAAGAGAGAAAGAATTGCTAAATATTATGGACTTGGTTACATAGTATATGTATTAGAGGATTCTTACAAACATCCAAGAAGTTTTGTCTTTAGTATAGATTCATATTTGCGGCAAGAAGTCATAGATGATTAGATGAATTCTTCAAATTTGACATAATTTAATGGTTTTTTAATTTCAAATTGCTATTAGCAAATGGATTGTGAAAGAAAAAAGCACTAAGACCTGATAAAAGTGTTGATGAATTTATGGTTTGTCTTGTAATAAAATTTTTAAGATAAAGAGAAAATATAAATTTTTTCAACACTTTTCTACATTCAATGAGATATCATTTATTAGGTACTAATACCTCTTGTATCATAGATAGTTCGATGAAGTTCACATTTTTTTTAAATAAAGAAACTTCAATAAATAAAAAAAGAAAAAGAGTTACAAAATGGAGGGTAAAATCAAACCCATAAAAAAATAGTCTATAGTTGAGTAGGTTCAATTTATCATGATTGAGCATTCAAATAACTAGTAAGAAGGGAATAACCCCAATTAAAACCAAGACGGGATAGTCTAAGATTAGCTAACTTGTCAGCCACTGCATTGCCCTCTTTAAAAAAAAGAGAGATAGTGAAATTCATACTTCTAATACGCACCAAACAACTGGTCCATCCGTTTCTTAGCTTCTAAGGAACAAGGGAAGAGGAGTTACACGCAAGTATGACTGACTTAGAATCGGTTTCCACTCATAAGTTACACCAACCTTTCACAAGAGCACACTCAATGGAATTCATGACACTAATGAGCTCAGCATGGTAAGTTGTACCAATGCCCAAGTTAGCAGTGAAGCCAGCTAAGAGCCTACTAGAATTGTGTCTAAAAATGCAAGCACATGACGACACAATCGAGCAACCTATGGCCACATCACCCGTATTACACTTAACCCAAGAACCAATAGGAGGTTTCCAAATAATCTACTTGAGGTGAGTAGCTTTAGGAGGATGAAATGGAAATCGCAAAATGGCAGTTGAAGAAGAAATGTAAGGCAGAGTCTTCACGTAACTTGCAAATACTGCACATGGAGGGAAGATTGCAACCTCTAAGCTTAAGGTTATCATCACAAGGCACCCTGTTATGCATGAGCCTCCAAACAAGGAGGACCTAAGAGAAGGAAAGTAAGAACTCTAAATTGTCTTGGACCAGATTAAGAGGTATCAAATGCAAGTAAGCATCCTTCAGAGTAAAAGAACCAGAGGGAGAGTGACTCCAAATCATCTCATCCTCCTTATGCTTCTATTTGAAATTTAATGGTATATCAAATAGATGTTAAAATTACTTTTTTAAATGCGAAAATAGGGGAAGAAGTATATATAGAACAACGTGAAGGCTTTATAACTTATGGCCAATAATATAATGTCTATAAGTTATATAAGCTGCAATATTTTCATAAACAATATCTTAATCATTGCCATTAACATTTTGAAAATTTGACTAGATGGAATGTGTTTAAAGTGAATGAAAGTCGCAAATGCATTCACTAAAAATTCTAATGATGTTAAAGAAATTATGCTAGTTTCTTATGATGCGAAAGAAATTATGTTAGTTTCCAACAAATAGGACGCGTAATGATGAAAACAAATAAATTATGTCAGTTTTCAACAAATGGAATAAGTAATGAATAAACTCAAGAAATTACGTCAATTCCCAACAAATGGGACAGATAATGACGAAATACAAGAAATAACTTCAGTTCCAAACAAATGGGACGAGTAATGACGAAACACGTGAACTTACGCCAGTTCCCAACAAATGTGACACATAATGACAAAACACAAGAAATTAGGCCAGTTCCTAACAAATGGGACGAGTAATGACGACAAGCTAGAAACTACGCTAGTTCCCAACAAATGGGATAGGTAATGGCAACGTGAAATCTCTGTTAAAATTCTATATGAAGCTAGGGCCACCTATACAAAAATCCTGCAAAATGGAATAATGATGAGATTTATATTTAATGCACATGTCTCCCACCTTTCTTGCAACTGGTTTTCAGATTCTTCCACGATCATTTGTAATCAACCCAACACCATAAGACTGGTATGAATCCTTTAAAACTTCTCGTTCACCACATCGTGAAAAGCCTTAAGGGCAACTATTATGGGTTGGCCAAGGGCCCAATAAAAGAAAAGCAGATTTAGGATTTTTGAGAAATGATCGCAAGATGAAGCAAAGTTCAATAAATATATGGAACATATTTATATATCTTTAGGAGTTAAACTAAAGGCACACACACTTTTAACACTACATTCTATCCTCTTTGGAATCAACTATTGACTTGAGTGTTAGAGTGTTAACCTTGCAGGTTCACTCTCATGCATGTCCATTCCAAAGACTTACATCACCACCTTAGGAGCCCGCCAGATCAAATCATCTTCAATTATTGTTCCATAGTGGAACATCAAGAGCTTTATCCACCTCATTTAAATCCACATAATAGTCTCATAGTCAAGATACCAAGCATGAAGAAGAAACTTTCAATTGTCTATGATCTTATGAATAAGAGGATGTAACATAAGATGAAAATTGGATCTTCTCCCAACAGATCTCCTTGTTGTGCACTAGTGACTGACATAACATGTTCACCTCTAAGGTATATCCTATTTTACTAACCATAAAAAATTCAACCCAGAAAAAATAGGACGGGTATCTCACCTTCTATCACAAAGTAGTGTCGACCGATCTACCATATTAAAAGCATTCGATAATCTATTGTGAGCATAGCCAAATAACAATGTCTATGTCACTTGCTCGAAATCCTAATTGCACTATGCAAAATGGCATAACGATACCTTAGACCTAGACCCCAAACTAAAAGTCAATGAGATGTTCTACCTCATGATTACTAACTTATTTCATAGTAACCTTGGATACCAAACGTCTAGAAATAGAACCTATAACAATAGGGTGTATTATGTAAGCAAGCTTTAATAACGATGATAAAGGTGTAAAGCTATAAACTCAGCCTAACTCATCGAGCATCCTCCTCCTAGCCATAAGTTAACTACCAGAGTGATTTTCCATAAATGATCTCTTACCAAAATAAAATATTCTCAACATATAGTGTCTAATATGTGTTGGGCTTACAAACCATCTATACCCCACAATGTCCCTTTAGGGAACGATTAAATGCACAATAATGTCAACTTCATCCACGATGGAAGCTTTAGAGAACACGGGGGCCGACATAGAGGGAGGTGGCATGTACAAATCTTTATCCTCCAAAATCTTCATTGTGTCTCCATGATATGGGGCATTTCAAATAACTCTGAAATTTTCATAATTGTCAAGGAGTGTTTACTTGCAACCTTATAGAGACATTGTCTGATGTTAGTGCTCACCTTTTTATCTCCCTCATCAATATGATCATCTCCATGACCCATATCATATAGTTAATTTCTATCCAATACACTTTCAACTAACTTGGTGAGAGACTGCTTGATTCTCTCCATGTAGCAAAACAATCCAAAATGTGATGTTGCAATGACTTTCATTCCCAAACATGTGCAACATATCCAACATATCCTAAAGTTAAAGAGGTTGACAACATTGATTAATACAGACCAATTTCTCTGGCGAATTCCAAGTTTAAAATCATCTTCAAGGTCCTTGCGGATAGACTGGCTAAAGTGTTTCCTCATTTAATTTCCAAAGAGAAAAGGGGATTCATTAATGGTTGTAACATAAAGGACTGCAATTGTCTTGCTTTAGAGGTGACTAATGTGATTCATAAAAAGTCTCTTCGTGGGAACATTATGCTCAAGGTTGACATTTCCAAGGCGTTTGATACCCTAGATTGGAATTTTTTGTTAAAAGTCCTTAAGCAGTTAGGGTTCAACGACATGTTATACTCTTGGATTAAGCTAGTGCTAGAATCTGCTAAGATCTCGGTTGCAATTAATGGGACGTTAGAGGAGTTTTCAGCTGCAAGCGGGGTGTTAGGCAGGGCGATCTGCTTTCTACTCTTCTTTTATGTATAGCCGAAGATGTTCTGAGCAGAGGATTAACTCATTTGGTGGAAACAAATAGATTTAAATGCATCAAAGCTTATAGAAATATGTTGTTTCCTTCGCATACTCTTTACACAGATGACATCATGCTTTTGACTCAAAGTAATCCTTCTACGTTGGAAGCCATTATAGAGTTGTTTGACCGTTACTCATTATGTTTTGGGCAGGTCTGCAACCCAGCCAAGTCCATTATGTTTGCAAGTTCTATGGTTGTTGTGAGGTATGGGTTCTTAGCAAGCAAAATCGGGTTCAAGATGGGGTTTCTCCGCTTTCTTTATCTTGGGGCTCACATCTTCAAGGGAAGACCTAAAGCCTCTTATTTTCAGCCGGTTGTTGATAAAATTCGCATTAAATTAGCTGCTGGGAAGGCTAGCTTGTTATCAATAGCTGGAAGAGTTCAATTGGTTAACTCGGTTATTCACAATATGTTGCTCTACTCTTTCCGCATTTACTCTTGGCCGGTTAGTTTAATTAATCAGATTGAAACTCGGTGTCGTAACTTCATATGGAGTGGTAATATTAAGAAAAGGAAGATGGCTACAGTGGCTTGGAAATCTTGTTGCCAAGACCTTAAGGATGAGGGGTTGGGTATTCGTTCCCTCCATATAACAAATTAAGCTAACCGTTTGGTTCAGTGTTGGTGTAATATGAATGAGGTCGACACTTGGGCTACGATTGTTAAAGCTCGGGTTTTCAGGAAGGGTTTGTTGCGTAAATCACATGTTTTCTCCTCTGTTTGGACAGGTTGTAAAGAGGCTTTTGAAGACTTAATGCAAAATTATATGTGGAATATTGGTAAGGGAAATAAAATCAATTTATGGAGTGATAACTGGTGCGGCGGACCCTTGGTTTATGTGCTCCAGGTTCCTGCTATTCAGTGGTCGCAGCTGAAGGCAGATTTGAGTTTCATTTTGCGAGGTAATTCTTTCAATTCTCCTTCAGTTCTGATTCGTCTCTGACCTGATCTTCCTCATTTGGTCTCTAATATTTATGTGAATTGTTTGAATGAAGATAACCTTGTTTGGACTAAATCTGGTAGCAGCGAAATCAATGTCACGAATGCATATACTCACCGTAAAAATGGTGGTACCGGTAGTGTTTGGGGTAATCTGATATGGCACCCAAATGTTCCTCCATCTCATTCTATTCTTTTTTGGAGAGTTACGAAGAATCGTGTTCCAACTAGCGAAGTTCTTCGGATTAATGGAATGCCAGGTCCTTCCATTTGCAATCTTTGTTTCCATAGTGAAGACAATATTTCTCATTTTCTCTTTCACTGTGTATATTATCGGAGGATTTGGAACTGATTGTGTTATATGCTTAACATTAATTATAGCATCTCTGATTTGCAAGAATGTTTCCTTGCAATGTCTAGGTCTAGTGTTGCGCAATATATGGTGGTGTATCGTGCTTCTATTATTGATGTGGTCAACGACATTTGGCTTGCTCGAAATCAAGCCCGATTTCAGAACAAGTTAATTCCCTAGAGAGCTACTTGCTCGTTCATATATGTTATTTCTCAGCTGGCTGTAAATTCTTTCAAAGGGTCATCATTAATGGACATTAGTGATTTCCATGTTCCGAAAAAGTTTTCAATTTCCATTAATCATTTTAATCCCAACAAGTGTTTGGAAGTCATTTGGAGTCCTCCTTCTAGTGGGTGGATTAAAGTCAATGTGGATAGAGCGTCTGGAGGAGTTCCGATTAAAGCGTCTTGTTGGGGGGATTTTTAGATATCACTTGGGGAATCATGTAGGTAGTTTTGCTTGTAACTTAGGTTATGTTAATGCACTTTTTGCTGAGCTTATGGGAGCTATTTTGACAATTGAACTTGCATATGCTCATGGTTGGACAAATCTTTGGTTAGAATCAGACTCAAATCTAGTTGTGTTGGTGTTCAGTAAACCATCTGTTGTACCTTGAAAAATAAAAAAAAAGATGGGACAACTGTATGGTTATTCTAGGGATTGTAATTTTTTGGTATCTCATGTATACAAGGAAGATAACCACTGTGCTGATAAATTGGCTAACATAAGTTTAGATATATCTAATTTTACTTGATGGAATGTTGTACATCAAACTATAGAATCGGATTTTATTTAAAACCGATTAAATTTACCTAATTTTAAGATTAAATAGATTTGAAGTTTTGGCTTTCTGTTCTCCTCATTTTTATACTTATTTCTTTCTTTTATTGGAAAAAAAACACACATTTAAAAGAAAGAAAAAAGACTTACTACTTTCTTAAGCCTATAAAAAGTGTTTCCGTTAGCATTTCTAAAAAAGAAAAAACATTAAACTAATTGTAAGAGATATAATAATTCTAAACCCTAAAAACCGACATAACTATGAATTTATCAACATTTTGGTTGATTAAGGGCATTGAAGCACAATGTAGTACAAATCCAAATAAAAGGTTGTACCAACAATAGAAGCTAGAATATTGGTGAAATAACTATCTATCAAACTCTTGTGACATTTACTCAGCCTCCAAATGTGTTCATTATACGGACAACATTAATTAATCTAATTCCAGTTTTCACCATGAAAAAAAACCAGAACTATTATTATTATTATTTATATGAGATCATGTTACACAGTCAAATGATTGCCATGTGAGTTGCATCAACCTTGTTGTTCCTTACTATAGCTAGACTGATGAGTGACTTGGAACCAGCTAGCTACTACTACAGGATAGAGAAGTTGGTGAGTTGAATTTAAGTTCAGAAGTTTAAAGACTTAATTTGTTTGGAATCAATGAATAGCATGAAAAGTTGGTTGAATGGAAGAATCTAAGAGGAGGGAAATGATAAAATAGTAATATAAATTATTGTTATGATTTGGTCGTGGTGAAGAGTGTTGTTGGTTGAGCTGTTTTTTCAGCCGAATTATGTATTGTCAACGGATATTAGGTGAAAGAGTAGTTGGTATTATAAAGTCTATGGATATATTGCTTTAACTTTGTGGCCCTTATATAGTAATAATGTGGTCCTTGTAATAACCACTCAATTTACTTAGATCCATTAGGAGTCATGATTTTGTCTATTAATTAGGTCACCATATATTCATTAAAAGATATATACTAGTTATCCGCAAAATGTTTCAAAAGTCAATATTACAAATTCAACATAGTTTGTATACAATAACATTCAAAAATTAGGGTCTGTTGATAAGAGCCCTCGAAGTCATCAGCCTGTTATTCCTGGCATCGAGGTATCGAAGTATCAAACGACTTTGTTGATAAGAGTTTTTAGAAGTTGTGTAAAAGATGATAGTAGTTATTTAATGGAAGTTATTGTTTAAGTTACACATTTTAAAATAATAGTAAAATTGGTATAAATTTAGGCTATACCAAAAATCAAATTTTGCTCTTATATATATTATAGATAATAAATAAATCGGCTCTTTTAAATTTAGGGATCAATACTATAGTACAGGTTGCATCTACACTAAATCGGCCGTGTCAAACACATCTAATAATATTAAATATTTACTGTTTTTGATTTTTTAGATTGAATTGTAATTATATATACTTTGAATCGATTTGAATTTAAACATTTCTATTATCAACAATAAATTTGTGTTATTGCCTCCCTTCAAAATGCTTCTTTTTAATGTGTTTCACATTCTTAGTGTTTCAGGTTCAAATGCATCTCTATGCTTCTTTTTAATGTGTTTCACATTCTTAGTGTTTCAGGTTCAAATGGAGAAAACCAACATTTGTCCTAACTTTTGTTAACCAATTTAAGTTATGATAGCAATATTTTAGGTTTTGTTTGCGAATTAGAATGAGAGAAAAAATAAAGGGCTTATGAATTTTTTTAATAAAAATATGAAAAATAATTTAATATTTTGTGAGAGAATAATTTTTGTATAAAATGATAAATGAACATTTATTTTTAATATATTTTTAAATTTATGAATACTATAACAACATAGATTATATTTGAACAATTGATCTAAATCCTTCAAACCTCTGCCTCCCCCTCCCATATAATTATTTAGTTCCTCTAAATAAACACTCCAAAGTCATCATCCTCCAATTTTTTCAATTCTTATTGATCGCGACTTTACGAGTCTATCGGTTGATCTAACTGCAAGTATACAGTCTATCACGAAGTTTTAAAAGATATCTAATCAAGGAGAACTAATAATCAATCAAATGTTATCCAATTGGTACTATGTAAAGTTAAGGCTAGTGATTACTTAGTTTAGACGGAAATAAAATGTAATTAAACTAAAGATTAAGAAATATATTAATAGAAAGAGGCCGAAATATGAGTTTCGTGTACCTCAGGGACTCTGCAAATCATTGATGTTAAATTATGGTTAAATTGCATTCCGTAAAAAAATACTAGTTTAAAGACTTTGTCTCACACTCTCGCGCTATTGATTAAAGCCGCACTTTCTAACCATGAGATTTTTCTCTCGCCCGCCCATTTTAATCAAGAAGCATATTTCAAAAACTAATTAGATCCTAATTGATACCTAAAGCGCTCTCGTTGTATTTAGGATCAATGCCCAATTCTTACTATCCGGGCTAATTCTCACACTCTTGCACTATCGACTCGGACCTTTATTTGCTTTTCACTCTCATGACAAAATATTAAGATTTAAACTTGGAAACTAAAGACAAAACAGAATTTAATAAAGTTTTACACTTAATTTCATTACCGAGTCCTGTCGAAAACGTCAGACCTCACATTCCGGACTAAAATGCGTTTAGCTAGACATTCAGTTAAGCTTAAACAAACTAAACATGGTGATAACATATGAAAACAACATGGTAAATAATACGATAAACAACAAATAAATAGTAAGTAAAACTTGTAGAAACTTGAATTTAAGGACAGAAAGACTTGAAGTAAAGCGAATGAAAAATAACTCTTTATTATGCCGGCAGACTTGCGATCCAATGATTACAGAAACTTAAACTAAAGTTTGTGATAATCTCTCAATGTGAGCGATTATCACTTTGAAATACAATTTATGCTTAATTTTAAAAAATGACAGAGCTTCCGCAAGGTAATTGGATGCTCAAAATAGAGAAAACCACCCTTTATATAGAGGTCTTCAACTAGAGAAACGTCTCCCCAACGTGCAAATTCAATTGAGAAGAAGTAGGAAAGTGGGAGAAAGGCAGTTACAATGTGTTTTCACATTTTTTGCATGCTGGGACTAAATGGCGACCGCCATGGGCTTTAAGTGAGTTGTTGATGTGGCCAGGTGAGATGGAGAACGCCATGCCCCAGAAATCAATATTTTTCTGCATTTTCCTCCTCTTGCTCTTTACTTGATTTCTTCGCATAGACGCTCTACAATCGAATAGTTCCTGAAACACAAAAAAAAACATAATACATGCAAAACAAGACAAAACTAAATCAAATAAGATGTGAATCAGGTCGAAATACATAATACGCTTTCAAGTTATCACTTATCACTCAATTATTCACTTTATTCAAAGCATTCCTCTGCCTTGTCCTTACAACTCTCTAACAAAGTCTTAGGATATATTCTTGATACTTCATTTCATCTTCATCTTGTTTCCGAGTTCTTTTTTATATTTTTTTATTAGATATAATTTATGTCATATATATATATATATATATATATATAT